TGAGCGTTATGGTCTACAAATGCACTGTTACGTGACATCAATGAGTGATCGTTGGCTGAAACATCAACCAACAATGGTACTTGCCTGTCATCACGTGGGGCTGTCAGGGGTTGGTCCAGACGCTCCTCCAGTTGGAGATCGGTGGGCTGTTGCTGTTGGTGTGCGTCAAATAGCATCTCAGGGGAATGATCCCCATAGTGTGGAGCATCCGAGCCGTCGCTGCTTCTGCGCCCGCGGCGGTGTCCGCGGCAGCGTGGGCTACAGCTCCTGCTATGACTCCGACTACGACGACGGCCACGACTCGTGTCCACCTTGCCGGCGCTTTTTGTCGCCGAAGGCTTGCGATCCACAGCGGCCTCATCCTGGTGGCCGTTGGACCCAGAGCGCTTCTTGCCACGTTTGCCTCAATTCGATCTCTTGGAGCTGCTGGCGGCCACGGAAAAGCCGACGCGTCGCTTTCGCTAGCTGCGGAAGAGCGCGACCCTCGCGAACCACGTTGACGGTGACCGTTACTGTTGCCACGTCCACGGTTGCTTGACGAACCTCGACCACTCTACCACGACCGCGGCTGCCACGGCTGCGGGAGCTGCTGCTGTCGGTAGCTCGCTCCTTCTTCACCTTGCGGTGAGTGACGACACGGAAATCGCCCGTCTGCTTGGCGAATGCTGCAGAAGCACCAAACGTCGTCGGCAGAATCGAAGGAGGAAGGTACCAGTTGACCTCCGCCCGGCGGTAGCCACCGGTAAGGTTAGCGTAACCTCTTCTGAGCCCGTTCAGAAGACGCGTTACCGATTCTACCAACGGGGCGTCTACCGTGGGGGTATGAGTGACGTGATGCAGGGATTCACGGAGCGTGACCGTAGGTCTCTCCAGCTTTCCAACATCGTCGTCAACACTGTAGCCGCCTTGGTGACTGGTATCCTGCATGCTTCCGTGAAGGCCTGCTGGTGCACGTGCGCGAAGTTAGACACCGGAATGTCAAGGAACAATTCATCCCCCTTTCGGAGGCTGAGGTCCGGCGGTCCTTGCGCCATTTGGCTGTATGACGGTTGGGCCGGGGGCGGTACAACATAACCACCTCTAACGATGGACAGTGGTGGGTTCAGCAACAGCCCTTGCTGCTGGTATGGCATACGGTACCCCGCAGGGCCGGCTTTCTCGGGCTCGGAACCAAGCTCATTCGAGCCGGTGAGCGCCATGTGCTGCGAATCAAATCCCGAAGGACCGGTGAGCGTGTGCTCCGCACCGAACCCCTGTGGGCCGGTGGGAGGGCCTTGCGTCGAACCAACTCCCGTGGGATCGGCGAGCAAGTCCCTTGACGAGGGTCGCGAGTTTTGCGCTGTTTGTTCAGCGAGGGGCGCAATCGGAGCGTCCTCCGAATACGGTGTTGTCAGCACCTCCGTGGTCGTGGTTGGGGACCGCTCAGTTTTGGTTCTCCGCGAATCGCAAACCACGGGAATTCGACGCGTATTTCTTTCAACGAAATGCAATCGGTCTTACTCGCTTCACCGTTCGGCACGTGACGTTTATCACCGTCTCGAGTTCCATCGGCTTTGTCGCCGCAGGCTGTCGTTGAACCGTACGCAGTGGACATGTCCAAATCATCGCTCGAGGTAGCTAGAGTGGGCGACGCTTCACCTATTGTCGACAACGTAGGTGTCCGAACGGTCTTATACGAGGAGCGAGCGTCCATGCTCGACAACACCCACATCTTGCTTCGAAACTTCGAAGAGGCGAAGCGTGAAGCGGATGCTAAAGCGCGGGCGTTGGCGGAAGAGGAAGTCGAAGAACAAAGGAGAGAGGCTGACGCGGCCTTGAGCGGTGCCAACAAGGCAAGTGCTCACTTGATGGATGAGCAGATCAGACAGCTCACCCAGCAGCGCGAGCAGCCACGCGCGCTACAGGCCGAGTGCGTTGGCAAAGCAACAACAAGAGCTTGCTTCAAGCCATGCTCTTGCGAGCCGGCGAGCGGGTGGGACGATGCCGGAGCGGCGCCGTCCATACCGCCAAATTGCCTGGCGACGTTGGCCTGAGCTGCAGCAGCTGCGGTGGCCTTGTCAACGCACTCGGCCTGTAGCGCGCGTGACTGCTCGCGCTGCTGGGTGAGCTGTCTGATCTGCTCATCCATCAAGTGAGCACTTGCCTTGTTGGCACCGCTCAAGGCCGCGTCAGCCTCTCTCTTTTGTTCTTCGACTTCCTCTTCCGCCAACGCCCGCGCTTTAGCATCCGCTTCACGCTTCGCCTCTTCGAAGTTTCGAAACAAGATGTGGGTGTTGTCGAGCATGGACGCTCGCTCATTAGCAGCTCCGTCAAACGCACGTCAGAACGCACCAGCGGAGCGGTCGCCTTGAGTGATTCTGCCCCTGGTCTCGCTGTCGCAAGCCCCTGAGAAACTATCAATACGTTCTCTCGGCTGCATTCCGACACCCCTTCTTTATCGCATTCCGAGAACACAACAAATAAATGTTTCGGAGACAGATGGACATGGCTCTCGCTGTCAAAGTTCGAGAGCCACTGCGACCTCACAGCAGTCGGATACCCTGGGATCCGCTGATGGAGAGACACTGCAAGCCACCAGCGGCGCACTTGCTTCGAGCAACCCTGCCCCGCCTGGTGCCGCGCACGATGCAAGCAACGCTGCACTTGTGCACCCGCATCCACAATCGCTTGAGTACGAAGACAGCAGTGTAGATGTTCCGACTGGAAACCGTGATTCTGCCCCTGTCCGCACCGATGCAATTGCATGCAGAGACGTAAGAATCTGTATCTAGTGTATCTTTACCAGCCGTAGCCGAAGATCGTAGCCGAAGATCGTACCCCTACGGCAGTCCCTCCTCTCATGCGATGAAACTCGTGGATTGAGAACAAAAACACTATCCACATTCGGCACATATCCGAGCTCGGAATGGGATGCAGTCGGGTTGGCGTCGGAAAAATTCAAACTGAGGTTCGAAAAATGCCGACAGCGGCAGCTGTATACTACCAAAAGGGGCAGGAGTACTAGACTCGACCGCGCCACTGGGGGCGTCCGACACGCGTACGACGGAGCTGTGAGCTTCAATCGTGTGCGTGCGTGAGGCGTCAATCAAACTCGGAGAGCGAGAGCCTTCACCCTCCAAGTCCGGCACATTGCTGTGTTCGGATATGGATGCGGGGTGTGAGCGTGCGCGTTGAACCACCGAGCGCATCTGCATTTCTGCAGGTGTCTCAAGGCGGTGTGCCACATCTGATGACCAGCGGCGAGCTGAATCACGAGAGGGCACAGACAGACCTGGAGCGCGGCGCGCGACCAAGGGCTTCGGTGTGCGATCGTGCAAACATCATCTTCCTGAGAGTCTACGTCTGCTAACGTGCGTTCGAACAGCGATCGCGATTGTGGCTGCTGCTGCTGCTGCTGCTGCTGAAAAGTCCGACCGCGAACATGCAAGTATCGTCTGTCGCTGATTGTGCTGCGTGCCATGTCGCAACGAACGGGGGCAGCCAAGACGACGATACCGCCGTACCTAAGCATCCAACACACATGACCCAACAGCCCAACCATTCGAAACTGTGGACACCCCAAACCCCAGCTCTGCGCGCAAATTCTGCGCGCAACAAATGGAACACCCTGACAAGAAGGACTATCCATCTGCGTGCCCCCCTACCGCGTTGCGCAAGGGGGCTCGTCAAGTGCACAGGTCGATGCACTGCTCAAAGCGTCCGAAAAAAATGGTTTGGGGCGGGGGGGGA